CGAAGGAGATGTGTTGCACTGCGTGAGGCAAATGGTGGTCACACCAGATACTGACTGGTTTTCAGCTAAGTACACATCTTTATGTGTAATTTCATAAATAATTATATTGTCTTTGAAATATGGTTAAAGTGTACTGCTGAACCAACAAATATTTATAATAAACTAAAATATACTTTATATATTGAAACTTGTATGTCATGTATTTAAATTTGTAATGATGAAGCTGCAATTTAGTACTTTTTTAGAATATATTAACTTTAATATCAAATAACACACTAAAGCTAAATATTTAATCAATTACTTTACATGTGCTTTAGTATGTTAGTCAGCACATTAAAAGTAAGTGACTTCTTTAAAGCACAACTTTAAAGCAATGATTTGACAAATGTACTTAAATTAGAAATTTAATTTGACATTATTACAAAGTGCACTTTTTAAAAGTCTACTTAAGTGTGTTAAGAAACAGTCATGAAAGTCTACTCTTAAGAACATGTGAGTGGCCTTTTATTTCATTAATATTATATTATCTGCAAGTACAGTTTTTAAGATGTGAAACATTTCAAGTGTAGTTCTTTTTCACAAGGAGATATAGAGAGTTGAAGAGAAGAAACATCCGTTCAGAAAGCAGTGGCTGGGAATCAGCGGGTCAGCTGACCCTCGCTCGTGTATGATGTCCGCTGGGATTTCTACAGGATATGTTTTCTGATTCCCATTACATCAGACACACACCACCAGTCAATAAAACATGCTGCTTAAAAGCCTCCATCCTAGATCAAATGAGATGTTCCTGAGTATTAGCAAAAGTATCAGGCTAACCAACTATATAAGGTGGCCTAGATTTTTTTTCTCAAATCAACACACATACTGTACAAGAGTACAGACGCCTCTGCTGTTTAACTCAGATCACTCTCATGGCATTAGGCTGGGAAACAAAGCAATGAGTCTTAATGATGTAAATAACCACACTCCCACTGAATGAAAGCCATTGACATCACATCCCAGTTACATTTCATGACTACAGATACTATGTGACTCCAGTAACTCCAGAATGTTAAGCATTATCATTACCAAAACTACAAATTCTTGTAGCAAAAACTACACTGGTATGCTGCTCATGATTTGAGGTATCATTCATGAGTTTAGTACAAACCGTGACGAATGAGTTTCATGCGGACGTACAGTAATAGTTAGGATTAGGAGTTTGTTTACTAATCCTGAGTATGTGCAATATTACTAGTGATTACTAGTTTGTCTTATAAGGGTTTATCCAGAGGTTAAACTGCTCTAGAGAACTGTGATACTACGTTTTTGTTACTACGTTTTGGCCACACACACACACAAAAACACAACCGTCACACATTGTTATACATATGTATGCATGCTAATGTGTGTTATGATTTCAGAAAATGATAATTGCTGATGACAAAATGGCTGTGAAAGCTAAAACAGACTAAATTTAAGTGTGTAAAGCCCCTTGAGATCCCTGTAAATCAGCTTGACAGTATTAACAGAGCCCCTTGGCGCAGGACAATGTCTAACGTACAGTTCACATGCTTATATAATCTGATTGGTTGCAGGTGAGACAGTGAATGTTGCTCTTTCACATATGCACTACAGCAGTGGTTCTCAGCCTTTTTGACTCTAAGGCCCCTCATTGTCCACAACAAAATCCAAATACTTTTCCAGTTGTTAGTGATTGAATGGATAAGGATTAAGGATAAGGTTTTCTAAAATAGTTTTACTTACATTTCTGCCTGATAAAATATTTTAGAGCTTGGTAGTTTTATTTTTAATGCATATTATGTTTTGTTTTAAATCAATCTGAGGTTCATTGTGGGCCCTGGACCCCTGTTTGAGAACCACTGCTCTACAGTAAAGCTGAGAGAGCATCTAAATCGGGTCTGGTTCCTGATAAGCAGACATCTTTCAGGTTTTAATGACGAGAATGTTAATGGTTGTTAGTCAAGGCTTTGAAATTACTACTTTTGTCTTGGTGGAATTTACTGTGGCTTCTTCTCAAGTCTCTTTCTCTCTCTCAGGGTCATTGTCATTACAGTGGTTACATAGAGGATGTGGAGGGCTCTTCTGCAGCACTCAGCCTGTGCTCTGGGTTAAGGTGAGATCACAGAAGCTTTAAATGGATAGAGGACTGAAATGTTACATTAGAAGCGGACTGTAAAACCTTTACAGCTGCAGACACACTTCATAATTTACTTTATTTAAATACTTTCCCTGCCCTTTTTTTTAAATAAATAATTTTTCTTTTCTGATGATGTATCCAAGGCACACGCAGGCAGTGAAAAATATGAATCTCATAATAACAGTGTTTTCACAATCCAGTCAAAGCCCCATAGATAAAATGAAGTCATTCATGTAAATGTTTTGGTTGGGAATATGTAACGTTATATGAAGTCAAATGAAATTTTTTTCTTTCGGTTTGGCATGAAATGAAAATTCACCCTATTTTCAAAAAGCATGCTGTAGGTCTTATTATGAAACATTCAGCCATGCATATGTTTTAATGAATTATTAATATTATTTTTTTTATTTTGACCTTGTAATGTTTAATGAAAATGGCATACCTTAACCTTAATATATATCACAATACAGAAGAAAAGATCTGTTGCTGCTTTGATTTCATCACAACTTTAAAGAGTCAAAAAAGGATCCCACAGTCCTGGAAAACATAGAAACATAAGGGTATTTCAAGTCATTTTTAAACAAAGTTATGGAAATTAAAAAAAAATTAAAAGTTCATGGAAAAGAAATTATTATAAAATTGGCTCTTAAAGTTTGTAGTAGGTTGCCAAAGCTTTGTTTATCCAAGTCTGTTATATACAGGTGCATCTCAATAAATTAGAATGTCGTGGAAAAGTTATTTCAGTAATTCAACTCAAATTGTGAAACTCGTGTATTAAATAAATTCGGTGCACACAGACTGAAGTAGTTTAAGTCTTTGGTTCTTTTAATTGTGATGATTTTGGCTCACATTTAACAAAAACCCACCAATTCACTATCTCAACAAATTAGAATATGGTGACATGCCAATCAGCTAATCAACTCAACACGACATTCTAATTTATTGAGATGCACCTGTATTTATATGCAAGTGTGTGACGTGTATGTACCTTAGGGGTGTTATCCACACGGAGGGCACCAGTTTCGGTATTGAACCATTGGAAGGTTCCTCCAGTGATGAGCACTTGGTGTATCGTTTGGAGGATGTCAAGACAGAACCTCTCAGCTGTGGAACGCCTCACTTTCATAACCATGATGATGAAGCTTCACCAAGGCAACCTACAGACAGCCATGTCCATAACATCACATTTGTTCAATCTGGCAGCCATCTAATCAGGGTGAGTCACTCCAAATCCCAATAATGACATGGGCAATTACACAAGCTTTAAAACACAGCTAATTAGCTGTGAATGCTGGAAAAGAAAATGGATGTGTGCATGGGGAGTATGTTGCAGTAGTGTGTTTGTGCATGATGGTATATGTTCAGTTTCAAGTGTTTTTAAAGTTTCTACACTCACATGACTAGATTTCTTACAGTATTTCTGAATATTCTAAAATGAATTGTTTTAAAATCAAAGTGCTTTAACAGTAAGAATGTTTTTAGGCAATAATAATAATATGTTCTTAGTTTTTTTCTCACAGAGTATAAATTGGTCTTTAAGTATAAGTGAAAACATGGCTGCCTTATGTTTTAGCAATTTGGTCCTTTGCCAAGTTTTAAGCCACAGTAATTCTGTATTTATGTGCCTTCAGTTAGGCTGTATTACTATTATCAGAGTTTTTTTAATGTTAGACTTAATTCTAATATTTTAATTTGTCAAATCATTATAGTAGCAATGCTTGTGTTGGCAAACACAGCTGAAAATAAAACTAAATGTCTGTCTGTCCAAACAGAAAAAGAGAGCAGTGCTGCACCAGACACACTATGTGGAACTGCTAATGGTGGTGGATAATGAGAGAGTAAGTTATGTAAATCTAGCTGCATCTTTCAGCATTTTCCCATTGTCTGATGGTCATGTTGCACTCAGTATGGGATCAGAAATGTCAATCAGTAGTAGCTCTTAAACTGTTAGTGTGAGTGGAAGTGTGAAGAGATTTATTGAACATTTGGAGATGAGTGGGATGAAAATGTGCGACTGCCTCTGACTGGGTAATTTAAGCATCAATGTGAGAATTGTCCAATTTCTGAAACCCTTCCTAGTTTTTCATATTTTCTCCTTTTTACAGTTTAACTACAAAAAAAGGAATCAAACAGCAGTACGTGAGGAGGTGGTTCAGATAACTAACTATGTTGATAGTGTAAGTTTGCCTGCATATTTTAAAATAAATGCAACAAATGCCTCCAATTATATTACTATATGGTGATTATTAAGAGGCCTAGTGATTTCCCCTCTTGATCTCTTTGTCCTGCTTTCCCTTAGATGTACATTGCTCTGAATATCCGTATTGTGTTGGTGGGATTGGAGATCTGGTCTGCGCAGAACTTCATCAATACTGACGGCAGTGCTGGAGAGGTGCTGGGCCGCTTTACTCAATGGAGAGAGAAAGAGCTGGCTCACCGTCATCGCCATGACAGCGCACAGCTCATCATGTATGAGCTTTCTCTGTTATGACCGTTGTCAGTTAATGGAAGTGCTTTTAAGAGTGTCAGGAGAACATTTATATTATAAAGCATTCATTTGTAAAAAATATCACCCAAAGGTAGCATTTAGAGAGAGAACAGGGAAAAGGACTTAATACAGAGCCTTGGTGCACACCATAATTTACTATCTTAAGTATGCTCTACTATCTTAAGATCAGATGTTTGTTCATTTACATAAACAAAATGGTAGCATTCTGAGTTGAAGGATTTTAACAAGGCTTAGGACTTTTCAACATATGTGCTTTTTGTGCACATACACATTTTGTTTAAATACAACACCGGTCTTCATGAACTTAAGAAATTCATTTCTCAGCAGCATGGTTTGGTAGATTTAAATTTTTCTAGTATCTTTTACATAGAATAAAAAGTTAAGATCTTTAATTATTAATTTCATATGAGCCCAAATGTAGCTTTTTAAAAAGTGGTTTAATAATCGTTTGATAGCTTGAACGTTTTAGGGACGTGTCCTAGGGAGGAGGAGGAGTACCAAATAATATTTAACAGGTGTCTGACATTACTCACATTACTTAATTTCTGTAAGTATTTACATTTTGCAGTTTTCAGGACATGGTCATAGCTGTCACTCCAATCAATTCAACAAACCTCCAGATAAAGATTTTGCACTAGTAACTCTCTTAAGAACATGAATTAAATGATTTGTGCATAAATTATCTGTGCCAAAAGGAGAAAGTCCTTGCATTGTATGTCTTTAAAATATCAAGTAAAATCCCGTTTTCCATTATGTGTCTACCTTAGATCGGTCATATTTATTGTTCTGTGAACAATGCTGTGCAGTTATAATGCTGTGCTGTAGAAATTGCCTGTCTGATTCTCTTTCTCTCTCTCTCTTCACAGAAATAAAGGATTTGGTGGAACAGCAGGCATGGCTTTTGTTGGCACGGTTTGTTCCAGAAGTCATGGTGGTGGAATTAATTCGGTACGATGCCTCTGATCCACTCCTCATATGCTACAGATACTCGCACACACTGTTTGTCAGTATCTGCTGAACAGTGTCTTTCACCAGTATCTAAATGCCGGTTGTGTCTTTGTGCATATGTGTGCGTTTTCCTCTCAGTTCACCAATAATAATGTGCTGTCATTCGCCTCCATCGTGGCGCATGAGCTGGGTCACAATCTTGGGATGAACCATGATGATGGCCGAAACTGTAAATGCGATGTCACGCACTGCATTATGAACTCTGGGGCAACGTGAGTGTTTTTGTGTTACAGATTTCAATATGCTGTATTATTTTTTAAAGGGGTCATCGGATGCCCATTTTCCACAAGTTGATATGATTCTTTAGGGTCTTAATGAAAAGTCTATAACATACTTTGGTTAAAATTTCTCAATGATAGTGTAAATCAACACCCTTTTTACCTTGTCAAAATCAGCTCTGTTTTCAGCAAGCTGTTTTTTAGTCCATGTCGCTTTAAATGCTAATGAGCTCTGCTGACCCCGCCCCTCTCATCCTGGCCGAATTGTTTCCTCTGCTACAGCATTTAAAGGGGACATCGGATGCCCATTTTCCACAAGTTGGTAAGATTCTTTAGGGTCTTCATGAAACGTCTGTAACATACTTCAGTTAAAATTCCTCAATGATCATGTAAAAGAACAGCCTTTTTACCTTATCAAAAACAGCTCTGTTCACAGTGCCCCGTTTCGGTGCATGTCTCTTTAAATGCTAATGAGCTCTGCTCCCCCCGCCCCTCTCTTCCGTGGGGTGACGAGCAGTTCTCTAGACTGTTAACTTTAGCCGCATTCCAGTGTTGCCACATTGGGCTACTTTAACACTGTTGCCGCGGGATGTTTTTCATGTTCGCGGATTAAAGCGACCCCAATAACATGATATTTAGCCCCTGGAATGTGACTTTTACCAAAAAACGTGTATTTTACCCCCTGAAAAGCGATTGGGCTAGTTTTGAGTAGCAATTGGGTGGGTTTTGCTGTGAAAACCTTGCAATCCTACTGCATTTGTTGCTGAACTTGCTAACTAGCACATTATTAAGAAAGGCGATTCGCAAAGACTTATAAAAAAACCTTATACTCACTTCTTCTGTAGGTGAAGCTGGATCACGAATGATTTGCGCAAACATAGACGCATTTAGTTTGTGCTGTAGAAATTGCCTGTCTGATTCTCTTTCTCTCTCTCTCTTCACAGAAATAAAGGATTTGGTGGAACAGCAGGCATGGCTTTTGTTGGCACGGTTTGTTCCAGAAGTCATGGTGGTGGAATTAATTCGGTACGATGCCTCTGATCCACTCCTCATATGCTACAGATACTCGCACACACTGTTTGTCAGTATCTGCTGAACAGTGTCTTTCACCAGTATCTAAATGCCGGTTGTGTCTTTGTGCATATGTGTGCGTTTTCCTCTCAGTTCACCAATAATAATGTGCTGTCATTCGCCTCCATCGTGGCGCATGAGCTGGGTCACAATCTTGGGATGAACCATGATGATGGCCGAAACTGTAAATGCGATGTCACGCACTGCATTATGAACTCTGGGGCAACGTGAGTGTTTTTGTGTTACAGATTTCAATATGCTGTATTATTTTTTAAAGGGGTCATCGGATGCCCATTTTCCACAAGTTGATATGATTCTTTAGGGTCTTAATGAAAAGTCTATAACATACTTTGGTTAAAATTTCTCAATGATAGTGTAAATCAACACCCTTTTTACCTTGTCAAAATCAGCTCTGTTTTCAGCAAGCTGTTTTACTGCATGTTCCTTTAAATTCTAATGAGCTCTGCTCACCCCGTCCCTCTCTTCCGTGGGGTGACGAGCAGTTCTCTAGACTGTTAACTTTAGCCGCATTCCAGTGTTGCCACATTGGGCTACTTTAACACTGTTGCCGCGGGATGTTTTTCATGTTCGCGGATTAAAGCGACCCCAATAACATGATATTTAGCCCCTGGAATGTGACTTTTACCAAAAAACGTGTATTTTACCCCCTGAAAAGCGATTGGGCTAGTTTTGAGTAGCAATTGGGTGGGTTTTGCTGTGAAAACCTTGCAATCCTACTGCATTTGTTGCTGAACTTGCTAACTAGCACATTATTAAGAAAGGCGATTCGCAAAGACTTATAAAAAAACCTTATACTCACTTCTTCTGTAGGTGAAGCTGGATCACGAATGATTTGCGCAAACATAGACGCATTTAGTTAGATCGGGGGGAGGGTGCACATTCCCTTCAAAAACAAAAGTAATCCTCTGCGTCTTCAGCGGCTCAGATGTCAGGAGTAAATGACGAGTCTGCTATGTTCATTATTTCATCCAACAAAGGAACACTTCAATCGCTTAATCGGAGACATTCTTGTCTACATCTGCTCAATGGAGGACAGTTGACAGCTCACTCAGGGCAGGTCTGTGATAAAACGCCAGTGCCAATCAACAATCATGGGAGGGGCCTGGGTCTGTGTGACGTCACACAGCCAAGAATCTGTGAACGGCTTGATTTGAGAAAAGGGTTATGATTCATGATTTAAACACTGGTGGATTTTTATCATTAAAGGGTTGTTGTGTACACACACCGCCAAGACACATTTCAGTTCAAACAACATGTAAAAGTGCATTTCGCATCCAATGACCCCTTTAATAAATTATTCCATGATCTGTTTCTTTGTCCTTCAATGCTCTCTCTTTTTCTCTCAGTGGTTCTCGTAACTTCAGCAGCTGTAGTGCTGATGACTTTGAGAAGATGATCTTGAACTCAGGTGGCCGCTGTCTGCTGAACATCCCGCGGCCGGACGAGGCGTACAGCGCCCCCTTCTGCGGGAACAAGCTGGTGGACGTGGGCGAAGAGTGTGACTGTGGGTCAGAGGAAGTGAGTCGACTGATTCCAGATCAGTTTTGTGATTTGTTTAGTTATTGGATGAAGAGAACTGGTCCTGATTTCACGTTTTTGAAGATTGTGGTCGTTGTTGGCTGATTTAGTAACCAAATTGAGCCAGTGATAGTAGGGGTTATGATGAAGATCAGGGCTGCAACAACAAATCAATAAAAATAGTGCTAATTAACAATTAGTATTATCAAATGAATATAATAAAGTTTGTTACAGCCCTAATGAACACTAAAAAGATTTTCTGAAGGTTGTGTATGTGAATTTTTCAGGAGTGTGAGAAGGATCCGTGCTGTGAGCCGAAGACGTGTAAGCTGAGGTCAGGTGCTCAGTGTGCGTATGGGGTCTGCTGCAAGAACTGCAGGGTAATTACATCTTTTCTAACAATGTAGCTCTGCTCCAAACGCAGTGTTGTTATTGTTAACTAAAACTATTAAAAATAATTTTCGTTAATTGAAACACAGCTGAAATCAAATATAAATATTAGATGAAAAATGCTAATTAGAAATGTTTCCTTAGCATCTAACTGAAATTAAATTTAAGTTGATGTCCTGATATTACTAAAACCAAAATGAAAATAAATACAAATAGAAATATAAAAAAAACATAATAAAAATGCCAAATGTATGTAACAATGACTAAAACTTATACGAAATAAATTAAAAAAGAAAATTGAAAATATGAATAAATATGAAAATATTATTGAAGAAATAAATTAAAAAGAAAATTTAAAATGTTAATAAATATGAAAATATTATAGAATTAATTTTAAAATTATGCCAAAATTACACTAGGAGAAGATGCCTTATGCTGCTTTATAAGATAACTTGTTCTGGCTAAATTGAAAGGCAATATTGCGTATGTCCTTTACACAGTGAGTTTAAGACAAAATTTGGCTAGTTAGGTCATATATTTCTTCTATGCACCAAATTTTCACCTCATCAGCCAGCTCACAAGGACAGAGCTAATATATACATGCATATGCCATCTGACAATATGCAGTAGTACTTTTTGCTTGCAAAATTCTGATTAATGTAATATTTTTCTCTCTCCATCTGTCAGTTTTTGCCTGGTGGCACAGTGTGCAGAAGCAGCACGGATGAATGCGATTTGCCGGAGTACTGTAACGGCTCATCTGCCCTCTGTCAGAATGACGTCTTCAAACAGGACGGCCATCCCTGCAAACAAGGCCTGGCTTACTGTTACAATGGCCAGTGCCAGCACTACGGCACCCAATGTCAGGCCATATTTGGCACAAGTGAGTATACAGTGTGGGTGATAAATAAGAATTAAAAATATTGTTTATCCAGTATTTCAAAATGATTAAGGAACATAAAAAGGCACTAGAAAGTTAGACATAGTGGTACAACCACAAATTTGTGGTCTGATCTTTTACTGATTTGTCATATGTAGTATTTAATATAAAAATTATTTGGCATGTACATTTTCTAACACTTCTAAATAACATCGGTGTTAATGATGTGATAATATGGTATAAAACCAATATTATTTAGAAGTGTTAGAAAATGTACATGCCAAATGACTGTCATATGTCCTGTTAGATATTCTTAAATAATCTGGGCCATTTGAAGTGCATATAAGAGAACAGATGGATATTAAAACTGACAACTAGCAGTATTATGTTGAGTGTATTGCAAAAGACTCAGTGGTGCCCTCTGTTGATAATCTACCTGACCTGCAGCTCTGCCAGCAGCACAGTCACTACTGTACAAAAGTTTGGAGTCAGTAATATCTTTTTTTAAAGAAGTCTCTTATCCTCACCAAGGCTGCATTTATTTGATCAAAAAATACAGTAAAACCAGTAATATTGTGAAATACTAATACAATGTAAATCAAACAGTTTTCTATTTGAAAATATTGTAAAATGGAATTGATGTAATTTATTCCTGTGATGCAAAGCTGAATTTTCAGCATCATTACTCCAGTCTTCAGTGCCACATGATGATAGAAAGTTCAAAAGATCATTGAAAATATTCTGTAACATTATAAATGTCTTTACTGTCACTTTCGATCAATCTAATGCATCCTTGCTGAATAAAAGTATTAAAGGCACAATACGTAATTTTCGCCGCTAGAGGGCGCGTATTCAAAATAAACAAAGAATTAAAGGCATAGTTGCAGTGACTGAGTGTGGAATCATGGGAGTTGTGGTCTTCATCCCCACAGCCGATGCAATCCGATGGGACTCGGGCAGAAATCATGTTCATGGATGAGCTAATGTATTAAAGATGTATTAACATCGTAGTATGAAGCAGAGTATGGCGAAAAGCCGTCGAAGCAAAACGAGGCCGCTGAACGAGCGTGACATTATTATGCTTTTATTATGCCACAGTCGACCGCTTCCGCTCCTTCCGGTCGTGCGTATGTGGGGGAAAAAAGCAGCGCTGTTTTAATACATTTGAAGCTGTAGTTCAAACGAGCCGTTCGTTGTAGTTCTTGAAAAGGGATTTTTAAAAAACGAAATATCTCCCTTTGGAGTGGACTTTGAGATTTGTAACTTTCTAGATCTTTTTTATGCCCAAACATACGCACTACACACTGACTAAAATTAAAAAAGTGAAAAAGCATAATAGGACCCTTAATAAAAAAATCTTACATATTGTGCCTTTAATTTCTTTAAAAAACAACAACTTTCTGATCCCAAATGTTTAAAATAAATTCTAGTTGGCAACAAAACATTTCTCATTTTCATTTATTTTAACCTGCATTTAAAAAAAAAATGTTTTGTTTAGTTTTTCTTTAAAAGTAGAGCATTGCGTTAGCAGCGCAAAAGGTCGTGGGTTCGATTCCCAGGGAACACGCATACTGGTAAAAAAATGTATAGCCTGAATGCACTGTAAGTCGCTTTGGATAAAAGCATCTGCTAAATGCATAAATAAAAAAATGTCTTTCTTTTTGTGTGTGTAGAGGCTAAAGCTGCTCCTGAGCTGTGTTTTAAGGATGTCAACTCTAAAGGCGATCGCTTTGGAAACTGTGGCTACCATTCCAGCGGATTCAAGAAGTGTGAGAGCAGGTACAGCACAGCAAGATATACTGTATTACAGTTAAATTACAATTCACACTCAGGAACTTTTGCCCAACCCCCATAAGAACACACACACTCTCATTCCCTCAGAAACGCCATGTGCGGGAAGCTGCAGTGCGAGAACGTTCAGTCCTCAGTCATATTTGGCATCAAGCCGTCAATCATCCAGACCCCCATCGCCGGCACTACCTGCTGGGGTGTGGACTTCCTCCTGGGCTCTGACGTGCCTGATCCCGGCATGGTCAATGAGGGCACCAAGTGTGGAGAAAATAAGGTGATGGAGAAAAGTAACATTGACCAACTTATTAAACATACAATGTTTCTTCTTAAATTATGCGCGCAGATTGGCAAAACATGTTTATTGAAGTGTTTAGCCACTTTCACATATGAGCAAATATTTTGTATAAGGATAGAGGTTAGAGGAGCTTTTCTTTCCTCTAGGGTGATTGCTTTATTTTGCTTAATAAAGAAATCATCCTAGCTTTAAAGGATATATTATAATAGCTTTTAAACTTTTTATTCTCTAGAATAACTACACTAAAGATAAGATGATGCGGAATTATTGAAATGAATACCCTAATTGTCACGCCCCTGGACTCTTTGTGTTGTGTTTTCCCTCCCCAGGTGTGCCGTGTTCCCTTTAATTAGTCATTCCTTGCACCTGCTGAATTATGACTGTGATGTTGAAAAGAAATGCCACGGCCATGGGGTACATATGCATTCACTACCCACAAACCCATACCACCCTTTTACATACTTTTTACATTCACACCATTTTACATTCACCTATTTTCAAATCCTAAATACCTAGAGTTCAGCTTGATACAATGTTTGCTGAGTGTGTGTTTGTGCTTCAGGTGTGTAACAGCAATAAAAACTGCCACTGTGAATACGGCTGGGCTCCTCCGTTCTGTGAGGCCTCTGGTTATGGAGGAAGCGTCGACAGTGGCCCCACCTGGAATGGTAAGACTTCTTTAACAACTGCACAGCTAGAGCTTCACAGAGGATTATCAGTGCTTTTAATACGTGTCACCTGTAAATGTGATCACCTAAAGTGGAATCGCCCAAATCTGCTATGTTAAATTAAAATCTTCCCCTCTCTCTGAATTTCACTCAGATAAAGATACTTCCACAAGGGATGGTCTGCTTGTGTTCTTTTTCCTGATTCTTCCTCTCTTGGCATTGGGTTTGTTTGTGTTCTTCAAGAGGAACGAGCTGAGGCGACGCTTCTTCAGAAAGAAACGCTCTCAGGGCTACGAGTGAGTAGACCGAGTCACTTAACACTCGACCTTTCACTGCACTGTAATGATGTCATCAACAAACCCAGTATGTTTAATAAATGATGTTTATTTAAATTATATTTATTTATATTTACAACAGTGAATGACTGTTGAATTATTGAAATTGATGCAAAACCCTAAGCTGATAATGTAGCCAAAAAGCAAGTGTTCATTAAATTAATTTTTTTTTTTAAAACATGTCATGTGACATTATATCATATAGATAGATAGATAGGATAGATTGGATAGATAGAAGGATTTTCATAGTTGAATCGGAATTTCATAGTTGAATCGGAATTTTCGAATCTTGCAGATAGTCGACTGATAGTCGAATCATATGTTTGGGGGTGGGGCAAAATACATTACCAAGAGTCAAGTAGTCAGACATTCGACAGTCATAATTACTGACGTTAACACACAGGGAAAATGTGTAACGGACGCCTCGCAGATACAAAAATAATGTTTTATGTTTTGATTAAAAGATAGTTAACATTAAACGTCTGCGAAACCCTAAGAATTCACAAAATTTTTTTACAACAGTGCTCTCATTATAGCGTTATATGACAGTAGTTATTAATGTTCTGCATTTCTGTTTTGAGCTGCACGCGCTGAAGATGACCAATAGGCCTAGAATGAAGCATTTGATAGCAGGTTTTTAATCAATGGGATTTAACTCATCATTTATCTCATATAGAATACGCTTTGTTATTTATACAACATAACGTTAATATTTCGACTTATAGGCTTGTCTGCACAAAATGCCCCGAATGCACATGAACGTGTGCGCGGCTCTGAATGAACTCCTTTTGTGAATGTGTTCTTCATGCAACAACGTGCAGAAACACGGCAACTAAACTCTAAAAATTCACATCGTTTTATTATAATAGTGTTCTCATTATAATGTTATGTAAATGACAGTCCCAGTCATAGTTATTAATATTCTGCATTGTTGCTTGTCCCGAAGAGATAATTACCATAGTAATCATAGAAAACCGGTAGTTCTATGTGAAATCAGGCATTTGAGCCCCCCCTTATAGCCAAAATGGCATGATCATAACCCCCCGCGAATATTCGACTGTGAGATTGGGAGTCGAATCAGGCTCCTCCTGTCGAAGCATCAAATCATCGAATATTCGGGGTCATCCCTAATATATATAAACTCCAGAGCTTTTGGGCTTTTGTGAAAACTACAGATCTTATTTCTAGCATTTGTGTATCCTGCTCATGGATAGTCTGATTGATGAGCCCAGTGCTTTATGGGTGTTGTAGCTTTCCTAGTTTTTTTTTTCATCACAGCCCTTTTTCTCTGTTTTCTCTAGTTGTGTAGCAGCAATTTAAAAAAATGTGTTTCTACTGCATACACCAAGAACTTTAATTAAAGTTTGATTAAACTTTTATTATTATTGTATTATACACAGGTGATTGACCCCTTTAATTATTTTAGGTCAAAGGAGTTTATATTATTACAAAGGAGCGATAATACTATTCATATATAAATGTAAAATCGCAAAAAGTTTTTCAATCCAGTATTTTAGGTCAGGAGTTTGGCCGACAAAAATATGAATTCCACTCTTAGAATCAGAATTAGAATCTGCCAGCCAATCAGAATCAAGCATTCAACAGCATCAAAGTGTAACAGCAAATACGCAAGACTTTCGTCATAAACAAGTCCAATAAGTCTGCATCAGAATTATGTTGTATATTCATTTTTTTGTTGTTGTTACTGTTGAAATGTATTGAACAAATGATGTTCAGTATAACCTAGTATTAATACTGATCAGCTGTCTTTGGTTGTTCCTCAGAGCTGACAGCAGACCGCAGACTACGGTGTCCCAGCGGGGAAACCCCAGCAGTATAGTGAAGGACGGGGTGAGTGACCTCTGCACAGCAGGACTCTTCACTGACTACCACACTCCCAATGTGTAACTCACTCAATGTAGTGCTAACATTGCTAGTGGAACTAACCTAGTACTTCACCTTCAGATTTGAGATATTTTTCAGCATATGTGCCTGAGCATAACACAACTGTACGACTGTGCCACTGAACGCCTGAGGAATGACACTGCAACGCAAATTTAACCAGCTAGTAAATCGGTTCATTAGTGCGTGAAGAGGGAAAACTAATTTGAAACATTCCCTGTTAAACATTACATTTCCACATTGACAAATATTTGGAAAGAACAATTAATGGGAAATTCTGAGAAATTATCTGTCCTTCACATTCAACTGAAGTCATGAAATGTTGCAGTTCTAGGCAATAGCAGAATGTCTCTATTTTGAGCTTGTCTGCTGCTGATATGTAGATAATGACCAGGCTCCTCTCTTTTTCTCTTCTATGATAAAGCACCAGGCTCAGTTATTGCCACCAGCGGAGGTAAATAACTGCATACTGTTTATTTAAGAGGGTTTTACTGTATTTGTACTGTGGGGCATCTCTGCTGCTGTTGCTTATACAGTCTCTGCTTCACTGCATTGTTCCTAACCTTTCTCTCCCTTGCACATCTCTTGCACATTAATAATTATATTTTAAAAAAAATTTACTTTTATTTTTATTTAGTTTAATATACAATATTAACAATGCATATAAAAATAAAGTAATATTGACAAAAAAAATGAGAGATAATAAAAATATACATATCAGATTTATGCTACACAGTATATACAGCTATAGTCCTATACATACAGGGGGTACGGAAAGTATTCAGACCCCCTTAAATTTTTCACTCTTTGTTATATTGCAGCCATTTGCTAAAATCATTTAAGTTAATTTTTTTTCCTCATTAATGTACACACAGCACCCCATATTGACAGAAAAACACAGAATTGTTGACATTTTTGCAGATTTATTAAAAAAAAAAAACTGAAATATCACATGCTCAGTATTTAGAGTAGAAGCACCCTTTTGATCTAATACAGCCATGAATCTTTTTGGGAAAGATGCAACAAGTTTTCACACCTGGATTTGGGGATCCTCCGCCATTCCTCCTTGCAGATCCTCTCCAGTTCTGCCAGGTTGGATGGTAAACGTTGGTGGACAGCCATTTTTAGGTCTCTCCAGAGATGCTCAATTGGGTTTAAGTCAGGGCTCTGGCTGGGCCATTCAAGAACAGTCACAGAGTTGTTGTGAAGCCACTCCTTCATTATTTTAGCTGTGTGCTTAGGGTCATTGTCTTCTTGGAAGGTAAACCTTCGGCCCAGTCCGAGGTCCTGAGCACTCTGGAGAAGGTTTTCATCCAGGATATCCCTGTACTTGGCCGCATTCATCTTTACCTCGATTGCAACCAGTCGTCCTGTCCCTGCAGCTGAAAAACACCCCCACAGCATGATGCTGCCACCACCATGCTTCACTGTTGGGACTGTATTGGACAGGTGCCTGGTTTTCTCCACACATACCGCTTAGAATTAAGGCCAAAAAGTTCTTAAATCTGCAAAAATGTCAACAATTCTGTGTTTTTCTGTCAATATGGGGTGCTGTGTGTACATTAATGAGGAAAAAAAATTAACTTAAATGATTTTAGCAAATGGCTGCAATATAACAAAGAGTGAAAAATTTAAGGGGGTCTGAATACTTTCCGTACCCACTGTACATACATCTCAGTGCATAGAATAAAAAAATAAATAAAAAATATATATATGCATACATATGTATATGAACCAACTCCCCAATTAAGGAGAGAAAGGGGGAAAGAAGAAAAAAATATCCCACACACAAAACATAACAACAAAACCAAACAGATGAGGTTACCATTTCAATAACATTTACAGTTTACTTAGCTGAGGATGTCTTTATATTCTTTATATATCAACCACTTTTCCCAGTCCATTCTGAAAGCACTTTTTATCATCTTTAAATATTTAATTCTTTTTTAATTATTATTTCAACATTAAACTATTATTTAAATAAATTAATAAAATAATATTTATTATTATTAATCTCTCTGATTTACTCCTACTAACCATGTCTTGATGTATACTTACTAACAAGATTAATTCTCACCTCAGCACTTCATTGCTATCGTGTCACTTTGAGCTTTGATCTTTTAATTTTCTTTCAGAGCTTTTTGTTTCAGGCATATAATATCATTCTGCTCTAATCCTCTAAAGCAGGACCTGAAATTGTGTAACATGGATATTCATAATGGTTTACAGCTAAGCTTATTTGACATATCAAGATTTAATTTTCTTTCTGTGTAATTGGGTTAAATCCATCAGTGTGCAATTACCATGTAATTTAAAGGGGTCATATGATGCTTTTTTAAAGATCATTATTTTGTGTATTTGGTGTAACAGAATATGTTGACATGCTTTAATGTTCAAAAAACACATTATTTTTCAAATACTGTACATTATTGTATGTCCTCTATGCCCCGCCTCTCTCAAACACTTCGTTTTCTACAAAGTCCCTCCTTCAGACAAG